AATTTAAAGGTTATTAAAACTTGTATTTTTACTGATATATAAGCGCACATTTAACGTGAGATTTACAAATAGTAAATAATTGTTAAAAAAAAAAAAAATATTATTATGTATTCTTAATTTTCTATAAAAAAAATCTTGCCCTTCCGTAACCGATATTGATAAAAAAAAAGATTTTTTAACAAGGTATATGTCACTTCGCAAATAAACGTTTTACAAAAGTTAGTATACCAACATTTCAACAAAAAATTAATAGATCTAAGAGAAATATAACATTTTTTATTTAATTGTGTATATGTGTGCTATACTTTTCCCTCAAAAAAAAGTAGAACGCTGTAAGTCACAAAAATTAATAAAAGCATTTTAAAAGTCGGTTTTTTCCAATATGACATTAACATTATACAACATTAAAAAATATCAGAAAACTATTGACATTCTACAACAAAATTGATGTATACTAAAATGTTTTTCAAGTTGCATACTTCTGTGAAATATTTTAGAAAATTAAATTTGAAAAAACGCATGTTAGTATCAATGTCCTGATTTACAAAAAAATTGTATTTTTATAAGATCTACAATTTGAATTGTGCATTAAAGAGCACGATCTCTCTACATTACTTGTTTTAATCCTCACGACTAAAAAATTGTGACGTTGACGTGTATAAATTAATGCATGTGTTTAATTTTAAAAGTGTTATTCACATGCACCATACTTCAATAAATTTACATACTTACCTTATGAAATATAAGGTGCCAATATTCACATACTCTTAGGTATACATAGGTCATTTCACAAAAAATACGATATTCTATAAAGCCTATGTTTAAAAACAACGGATCGAATTATTTCAAGTTGAAACTTTTTTTAAACAGTATAAACCAATTTTTTCTTAATGCATTTTTGAGATCGTGTCGAAAAGTTCTTTTTTGTGTGGCCGTAAGGTTAAAAATACAGGTCAAAATGTCATCATCGTACAAAAGCGTTTAAAATTTCATTTTCCTACCTCGGGCGTTTTTGAGAGGCTGGTGTGCCCTCGGTAGAAAAAATAGCATTCGCCACATAAGTGCCATCGCTCCGTGGCTACCTTACGTCTGCTTCGCAGGTCCCTTGGTCCGCAAAATAGCCCCGGAGATGATGGCACATATCCGACGAAAACTACTATTTTTGCGGCTTCTGGTGCCTAGACGTTGATTTTATAATTTTTTTACGATGTGGTATCTAGAGCTCACAGTGGCCTAAGTGGTAGAGCGCTTGCCTTCGGTCTGGAGGGCTATAGGGTTCAAGACCACGCTCCGTCACTTTTTCGCGGGTACCTCTGTGGTTCCTCGTCAGTATGTTGTAATGCTATACCGTGCCATCACAGCAATAAAAATCAACGATGCCTCGAATTATTTTAGTTTTCGAGTATACAGATTTAAGAACACCTAATAAATAGATTTAATATGGCGTACTAATGTCACAGTAAGTAAAACAAGGCCAACCATAAAGATAAAGACAAGATGTAGTATAATTTGAGGTGTTGAGCATATTGTCTGATATAGTTTAGAAAGGAACAAAAAATTTTATTTCCAAGTATGGGCGTTTTAATTATCAAGCCTACTTTTGCCACTTTTGAATTGCGCACCACAAATGATTTAATTTGGTTAGTGACTAATTCTTAGACACTTGGAATTAACCGTTTTGTACTCCGATGTGTACAAAAACACTATCAAATTTTTTTTATAGCACAAAATTTTAATTTAGCTAATTTTAGTATCGTCGCGAGAGTACATGGCGTTTTTCTCGGTAAAATAAGCGGTCTTTACCTTAACGCCCCTACTCCCCAAGGGATAATTAAGGATTTAAAATCATCGATTGGATGACTATAGTGTACGAAGGGGTATAGGGTGCAGATGTGACAAACGAAATTTCGTTGAAAAATTATATCTTGGTGCTTTACAATCGCAAAAAAAGTACCATTACGGTAATGAGAAGTCTGACATTACCGTAATGCTCTTTTTGAATTTCTTAAAAAATGCATTTGAATTAACATAGTTTTTTAATGAATGATCGTAGAGTCGAGACTAAAATTTTCCAACTAGTTTGGACATTGTATACCTTGGAAAAAACAATTAAAAAATTCTGAACATTTAATTTAAAAAATCTTAATTTGGGCGTGAAAATATCGCAGTTTTTGTAAAATAACCCATATATAGGAGTGGAGCTACGCGTCGCTGTACAGATGTTTTTTTCTAACGAGGTTTTTGACAGATGTTTCAAGTTCTTATTTTTCTATGTTTTATACATTTATGTTTGATCTGAGAAAAAAACATTTCCAATAAACAGAAAAAATTGTCCGGTAATTGGTAAGTTGATATGTATCATTTTCATACACCAAAACATATGTAAATACAACGATAAATAAACAATGTGACAAAATTGGGGTTATGAGGTTACGAAGGGGAATGGCATTCGCTCAAAGTCATTGATCAGCAAATTGTTGATATAAGTATATTCAAAGTACAATTGAATTAAATTTTGTAGAAAAAAAACTGCACTTCGTAAGATCGGCGCTCGTATGAAATTTAATTGCCCGTGGCATAAATAAAGGATCTCGGAATCACCGGTATGGCCAACAAAGGGCCGACCTCCGCTGGAGGACCCCCGCAACTTCCCACCCTGCACGTGGGACAAAAAATACTATACGTACGCACCCTCGAACCAAAAAACCTAGCAATCACGAGTAAACAAATAATTAAAAAAAAAAAAAAAAAAAAAAAAATTGAAGGGCCCGTTCAGCGTGACGGTGACGGAGTCTATGGTGAGCAAGCGCGAGCTCGAAAACCAAAAATTGGCCAGGCGGTGGGAGCGCGAGCAGATCCGCAGGGCCAGAATGGCCGAGATGGTCGAAGAGAACTACGCGGGCGAGTTCAAGGTGTTCAACGTGCGCCGGAGGTTCATCCGCAGGGTCTTCTCCATCCTCATGCTCCAACTGATCTTCACGGCCATCGTCATCGCCGTCTTTTACTTCGTGTAAGACCGCGGAAGCTACTTTTTTCTTTTTTTTAGTGACTCTAATTCCCAACTGCATTTTTTTGCGTAGGGAGGACGCGAGGAATTTTATGACCAACAATGCCCACTTGCTCATATTGGCGGGGTAAGTCGCACCCACACGTCTAGCTGATGATTAAACGAAAAATCACACTCGATTCTATTACATATATACCGTTTCTTTTTCTCTTGGACAGCATCGTGTTTTTTTTGTCGTACCTGTCGATATCGCTGAGCAGCTGTGCCAGGCGGGATCCGCCTCTCAACGTGGTATGCCTGACTTTGATGGTGAGACGAATGAAGAAATCATCAACAAAGAAACAAAAGTACTTACCCCTGATGTCTTTGGTTTTTCCTTAGACCGTGTCGGACGCTTATTTGATGGCCGCGCTGACCACTTTTTATTCCACCGATGTGGTTTTGACGACGGTGGGCGTCACAACTCTCATCACGACCGTCATATTTTTCACCGCTGCCTGTACTAAGGTTGAAATTATTTTTTTCAGTAATTATCAAAATCGCAGTGGCAACATCTACTTGAAATTCGTTTAGCATTACTTTTTTGTACACGTCAAATATATTAAACAGAAAACCATTACGTAATCTTTTCGATGAAATATTTCTCTCAAGCATTCTTTCACCGGTGGAAAATGGAGCATTTCTTTCATGTGAATCTGAAATATTTTTCAAATTTTTGTGACGCAATATTTTATTCGTTTGTTACATTGAAATATTTCGAATTTCTTACGAAATAACGTAAAATACCGGAAGTCAACGAGAAAAAAAAAAAATTCTCAACGTGATATTTTTCCAATAGTTAATGGAGTAACCCAAAAGTATCTCTTACAATACCGTGAACATTCGAATTGCAATCAAGATAAAAGTTAAAAAAAAAAAAACTTGTTCCTGGAGTAAAAGCGTATTCATATGTTCATTTTCCCTAAAATGTACTGAAACAAGCTTTTGATAAGTTTGAAAAATATATTTTTAGTACACAACACACAGAACGTAAGTAACTTGCCAAAAAAAATAAAATTCGTTTCAGTTTGATCTGACAGCTCACACCGGGCTCATGTTGATTGTCTCCCTAGTATTTTTTTGTGCAATCATTGGAGGAATATTCATTGCTGCCTTGCAAACTCCAGCAGTAGAGGTCGCGATCACTATCCTTGGGTCATTTGTAATATCGATGGTACTGTGTATCGAAATTCCATGTCGCTTATTAACTGTTAGATTTAATGATTGACAAGAAAAACAATTTTATTACAGTTTTTATTTTTCGATGTGCAAACGATGATGGGAGGCAAACACGTCGAATTAAATCCCGATGAAGTTATTTATGCAGCAAGTCAGATTTACGTTGACGTTTTGATGCTGTACAGATACTCGCTGATGTTGATGGAATATGCCCAGAGTTGAAGTTTAAAATTTTATAAGTTTTAACTTTTTCGACCACAACATTGAAAAATTCGAAATAAAGTGTATCAGATAAAATCATATGTAGTATTAAAATTTTCTTACTCAACTTCTGTGATGTAATGCGTTTTATATGCGGGTATACAATAATCAATCATTCTCACGATTTTTTTCGCCATTTCATTAGAACAATTACGGTCTGATATTTTTAAGATAAAACTTAGTACTGCAAGTACCTTTCTATTACCGTTAAGGTATAAATAAAACTTTGCAAATAAATTTTAATGTTGACACAGCATAATAATTAAAATTTCGAGCATCAATGGCCAATAATAAAAAAGTGATAGTGCACACAAACAAAGCAGAAAATCATTGTGAAAGATGAATGAAAAAATAATATATTTTTTACCTGGGGCAGAAAAGGTGCGGTTGTTGTATGTTTCTGCCTGAGGTGAGAACGACATTTTTTGGGTTGAGGGCGGAAAGTACAACTTTGCGCCCGTGGGCACACTTTCCGCCCTCCAATTACTTTCCACCCTATGACTCTAGGGCGCAAAGCACTGCACCCGGGGGACAAAATGGTAGTTTTCGTACCTGGTGGCGCATGTCGCCAGGACAAGACTCCTTCTGCTTGCCCTACTTTATACTTTCTATCTATTGGTGTAAGTTGCGGCTAGTTACTAAAAAAAACTATACGGCACTACTATAATTACCACATAACTCTTCATCACTATGAAATATGATCGAAATATTTCGGATCTCGACGAATCATAAGGTTCCTCAATTCTGGTGAGAGTGGCGGCTGGTTAAAATTTTGACCACCCTTCGGCCTCAGGGGCCGTACCATATAACTTTTTTTTTGCTTCACGGGCCTATGTTGTAACATAGACTGATGTACAGAAAAATAGTTAAGGGAGACCGGGGTAATCGTGGCCACCTGGGTAAACAGGCCACTGGATATATTCAACCATTTAATTGAGATAAAAATGTAATATATTTTTTTTTTATTGAAATATATCTCTACTTACATGCTTACTTTTTGTTAAATTTTTAAATAATTAAATTTGATAGTTAAAAAATTTGGAGGAACAGCTACATTATTAAACTTGCCTGAAGCGGAAAATACATCAAATCGATTTAAAATTGACACAAATTGAAAGTTTGAACCTCAATCTACAATCTGCTTTTTTTTATTTTACCAAATATTATTTAGAAATATAATTGTAAGTAATTTAAAATACTCCTATTTTGGGGTGTGGTGGCCATCTCTCCGGGGTACAGTGGCCATCGAGTTTGTTGTTTACGTCAATACTGAGTCAGTCTGCTAATCTGCGGATCCTAACCTAAACTTTTTAATCGTACTTATAGCCAAAACAAAACAAACAGTGTCAGGTGAAAGTTATGTAGTACTTAAGTAATTAGTCATATTTTAAGTCAATTCGGTATTAAAGGTGTAATAAAAATAAGTCATGGTGCGTAAGTATAAGAGAAAAACTGTGGATAAAGGCTGGAATGAATTCCAATTGCAATTACAACGATATACCGAAAAATATATATTTCTCTTTATTCTATGTGTATACTGACAGAAACATATTTATGTCGATATACATATTTATTTATCGATCTGTTATGTAAGTAATTATTAATTTACATAAATTTTCAATTTTTAGACGTAAGTTTAGTAGCAACATTTAAAATAACCTTTTAAATCGATGGCCACTGTACCCCAGGGTATGGCCACCTCTACCCCGGCCCTGGGTAAAATGGCCAGTTTGAGACGCATTCACTTTTTCATATTTGAACTATATTTATTATAAATAAATAACTCAACAAATTGGATACTATTTCTACACATCCGGCCTCTTTTATTTGCGTTTTTTAAATTATTCTACAATCAAGTAGTCGTTCATAATAACGTGATAAAGTTAGGGTGGCCAGACTACCCCGGTCTCCCTTATATGGTACGGACCCAGCTCTTGTAGCGGTCTGTCTCGCACCGTGGGGTGGGGGACATAGCTGTTAGTACAGGGTTATGGGTTTGGCACGCTCTATGTTCTCTATGAGGTCCCTATGGGTACGGTTCGCAAACTCAGCATAGATGGCGTACTGTAGCTAAGAGAAAAATGGCGTCACTTTGACACAAATTTAATGTATTATTCATGATCTCCTGACGTCAGCGTGACGGATATGTTGTCACAAAAGTAAGTCCACATTACCGTATACCTACCATTATCACTTATAGCCGTAGTATGTCATGACGCCATTTTTCTCTTAGCTAGTTAAGTACCGCCGACAGCGCCACTTTTTTGTGGTTCAATCGCGATCTTTTATCATGAATACTAAAAAACTAAAACATTTTTTGTAAATAATAATAGTAATAGACGCGGGTCTGTCATGATTAAATAAAGCGAATTTACTTTTTATTCACTCGTGATAGTGCATTATAATAGTTTCTGCACCACCACTTTTGCACATTTTAGCCGCACTATTTTGGGCTACTCAACCAGCGTAACCTTCCAAATGTCCTAGCCTGACCTTCGATACATGAAAGGGACGTGTTTCTATGGCTGTGTTCGCGTAAGGCTGCGTTAGTTATATTCTCTGCTATCTGATTGCACAGTGCTTTGTACACTTGTACAGGTAAAGGTTGTTTGATTACATATGTAATTTGAACTTGAAAAAGTAGACACATTTAGTTATTTTTATTATTTTTTAAACCATAAATTACAAGTGCTCTCATGAAACTGATAATGAAAACAGTCATCTTCTTCTTCTCACTTTATTGGCTATAGGCTCTCCAAAATAAGAGTCAGTGTGGCCATGACCAGGTTGGGTGAGAAAACAGTAATCAGAAAAGATATGACAGCATTAAAAAGCTACTGACACATACTACTGTATTGCTTTCACGAATTACTTGTGAAGCAAATAAGGTTTTCACCATACTGCGCCGAAAGTAGGAACTTTGCTTCGCGACGAGACAAAAATTACTTCTTTCGGTCAGAATTGTTGAAAAATAGAATACGCACCACGTTCGAAGGTTATAAGAAATGCATTAGATTTCACGTTAACCACCCTCGGCTTCCCCTCGGGCGTTTATTCACGTGAAATCTAAGACATCCTTAACCTCGCTCTCTAGGTGCGTAATATACTATTTTCGCCACTCCAACAAACTTTCTCACATGCACGTAGGTGAGACAGTATGCAAAAAATACGGGGAGATTCCGATTTGTGATCTGAGTGTGGTTTCTTGTATATTTTGATGCCAGGAATACAGGAAAAATAATTAAAAAATTCCTTCTTACCTCCTTTTCGAGATATCGAACTCGAAAATTAAAAAAAACGTATTTTGTAAAAATGCGATATTAGGGTTATTACTTACTAATTTGATAGTAAAAAATATGATAAAAATATTTAATAAATTTCTACTGGTGTACTTTTTGATTTTACTACATTTTAAATGTGTATTTCTTATTTAAAATTGTTTCGTATGTTTTTTTTTCTTAAGTAAAACATGATAAACATAACAACTATTAAAAAATAAACACTTTCCACTAACAGAAAAAAATAATGCCGATCTTTAGCGTTACCCAGATTCGAGTGCGACATGAGGAGGTAAACCTACGTGCACTCCAATGTGTGTATGTGTAAGCCTAGCATGTATATTTGTGAATTTCTCTTACTCTTACACGAAGAGCGTATCAGATACTAAGCTGATGAGAATAGATAATACACTTTGATCTGTGTCAGTGTGCCAGGAAGCGGTGGAAAAATTAACAGAAATTTTATCATTTTTAAATCAATAAATAATTTAAATTTATCAAGTGTTTTTATATTAAAATCAAATATATTTAAAATGTGTTTTTCGACAATCGAGATGCTACATTTCGAAAAAAAAAGCAAATAGAATGGTTTTCATTATTTTTTTCATATTTATTACTATCAAATAAGCAAGAAATAACCCTAATATCACATGTATCCAAAATACGATTTTTTCGACTTTCGAGTTCGATATCTCGAAAAGGAGGTAAGAAGGAATTTTTTTATTATTTTTCCTGTACTTATTCTTGGCATCAAAATATACAAGAAACCACACTCAGATCACGGCGCCACAGAAATCGGGATTGTGCCCGCAGGTGCCGGTTTACCGCTCTCTATTCTTCTCTATGATAGAGAATGAAAAGTTGTTGAAGAAAGTTGTCGTTTGCTGTAAAATGAGAATTTCATGGAATTTTTAAAATACCTGCAATTACATTTCTTTACCAAAATAAAATTAAAAAAAAAATATTTATGGTCTTATAGATTATATATCTCTTTTTAATATTTAACGGGGTGGGGCGGCCATTTACTTTTTTTTCAGAATCACGTGAGAACAAGCAGAATTTTACGTGATTTTGTGCAGGGGCGGTCGCGGAGTGGTAATATTCTATATCTGTTCACTCTACATTATAAGAAATTCAGGGTTTTACTCTGAAATGGTGAATAAGTATACACGTTTCTTTTAAAGGATGATTTGACCGCTTTTTTCTAATTCCTTGCAACCTATTGTGTTCTTCTAGCAGTTACGTGTATAGGCTCTTAGAGCCGCTGTGGTTGCAAAGAGTGGTTAACAGCAGTTTACAGTCGGTAGATTGTCGGTACGTCGGTAAGTGGGTGTCGGACACTGTCGGTGCACATAATACCAGATAGGTAAGTAAAACCGTGTTATACTTTTCGTTGACGATTTCCGAAACAAAGATGAACTTGCATTGTTTTTTATTTTATCTGGTTAACGCTTTTTTTTTTGATTATATAATTCTGTGTCAACCTTACGTAAGTTTTTAAAATATTAAGAAGTACTTATTTACCATACTTAAGTGAAAATTTTATTAATTTCATTCTGTTGTTTCACTCAGTGTTGGAAGTACTTATATCTAACATGATTTTTTTACCAATTTGAGGTGACTGAGTGTACATGAAAAAATTCCAGCTAGTTTGCATGGGTTAACTGCGCTTGGATTAATGTCATGTTTCCAAATATTCCAATTAACTTCTCTGTGCACGAATTTTTCAATTAAAAATTTTTAACAATTTAATTATATTTGGTTAGTATTAGTGGTTGCTCGATTGAAATTTGCGTAAGATTAGAGACTAATATTGTGAAAATAATTTTCCTTTTTCTGTCATACACAACGTAACAGCAATTTCGGTTTGAAGTACAGTATAATATGTATTTCCAAAATATGCACCACAAAACAAATAAATATTGTACAACGTTTTAATGCATAATGAGAACAGAAAAATACTTGGTTTTTGTTTATAAAAAACATAGGAATAGTATAATATTTCGACCCATGGCCAGAAAAGTCTCAGATCTGAGTGTTGTCGTTCGAGGCAAAGCAGAGGATAATAAATGGATGAATTGAGGTGTTTTCACTTTCTGTCTATGGGTCATAATATACTATTAAATTCTTGAATTTATATTTAGAAAAATATCTAATTTTTTAAATTAATTCATTTCTGATGGCTAACGTGAATCTAATATTTTTCTTTTGTAGTATCATTGTAAAATTTTTAAATTGTAATTTTAAGCATTAATAATTATGTGGTTAACATCTCTAGAAGTATTTTGATATATTCCTGTCCCAAACATATTTGTGTTTCAACATTCCATGTTGCAAGGCTGTATCTGATTTAGGTATCCCTATATTTTTCATGACATCTAGAACTAAGTTTATAAATGTTTAATATGTTTTTTTTTTCTGTTTCANAGGGACGTAACGAGGTTCGTAAAGGAGACTTTTCGAACGAGTTCCGGAAAACTGCTTTTTCGCCCGAGGAAGTACCAGCCTCCCAAAACCACCCGAGTGCGGAAAAAAATTTTTTTTCATCGTGATTCAGTTCATTGGACACGGTCCATTACGCATGATTATTGATTTATCATAAAAATGCTTTGATAAAAACCATGAGATCTTTGCAGTATGGCTTCACGAATGAGGAGTTAAGATTATGGTCTACACACAGACTCACAAAATCAAGCAATGAACTTCCATCAGAAGGCTCGTTTGTTCATTCGGTTAGGAGCAGCATAAATTGGTAATGAAGGGTCGTGGTGTTTAAGTAAGTAGAACATGCTTTTCCTCGTTCATATTTATTTTCAACCATCATAAAAAGTACAAAATTAAACTGTCGATTGATTAAAAATTTTTATAACCAACTTAACTAGCCATTAAGACCTGAGTTTCGCTATGTAAGTCCCTGTTCAATAACTGCAAAGGGGTATTACATACTAGCAGAACTTGGTTATTAATTGGTGAAATAAAGTATGGTGTGTAATTATCAGAGAACTAAAGTATTAGAAACCTGTACAGTAATTTCAAACTTTGCAAGTGGCAAAAAATTAAAAGAGTATTAAACCAATTGCGAAACTAATACAAACAGGCAAGTAGCCATCAAAGAAACTTAAAAATGTAGCAAGCAGTCATTAATACATACTTACTAAACGTGTTTTTTAAAAGGTGTTTAACTTTAACAGTTACATGCTAGTGCTATGACTCAACTATTTCGTGAAGATAAAGTTAATATTCCAACAAAATAGTACACAGACGTTTTGCCACTAAAAAAAAAAAAATTTCAACGATTGTAACAAGGAGAGACAACATGTTGTATAAATGCCCATGCGTAAATATAGTAGCGAAAACAGTAATTTATCAATGATGTAACGATAATAACGAATGTATTACAATAAAAATAAATAACTTTGACTATGATAGTTACTTATTTACAACATGTTTTACCAACAATTAACGCGGAACTGATTTTAAATTATGGTTTCTCCACGCAAAAAACAAGATTTTTATTTATTCGGGACACAAAAAACGTTTTCGTAACTTATTCCTATGAATGGATCATCGAAGTACAGTATTTTTCAATCACAGCTTATGGATTAACGAATTCAATGTTACTTACAAACAAGTTGAGTCTTTATTTTTTAACTAGAGTCAGATTCCTCCAATCCTTCTCGGCCAAATAAATCATAATGGGCTTAATACAGAGTTCAGGTAATCTTGAGTCCAACAGGTCTTGTAGTGAAATGAAAGCAGATTCGTACAATTTTTCCATCTTCAGAGCTCTTCTGCGTTGAAATTTGAATACTGGCAGCCAACCTGGGTACTTTTGTCGCAAATCGCTGTCCTGAATGTACTCGAGGATGGCGCGCCGTTGACGCCCCGGCATTTTGGCGAATTTTCGCACCATATTTTCCGTGAGAACGTCGCGCAAGGAAAACGAATCGATAATGGTGAAATTTTTCATTGTCTCAAGTTCGTTCGACAGCTTTAAAGTAAAGGATGGTTTCTCCGTGCCAAGGTCACCGTTCAAGGGATCCACGTGTAAACCAGCTGTTGTGAGCCTATCTATGTACTCGCTGAATGCATTGAAGTCGTAGCATTCTAGTGCCAAAGTTGCCGCGGTTTCATCATTGTTGTCAACAATGTTGATGTCTGCTCCGATCGATAAAAGAAATTCAATAGTTCTTTGAGGACTCTCGTTTACCAAGCAATGGAGAAGCGTTTGTCCTGCGAAAATTAAAAAAAAAATATGCAGATAACCTCCATTAATGTTAAAGTTACTGAAACATTCTTTAAAAGCAAATCAATGCTCACATTGTGTACATCAATAAAAAAGTGATGAATAATTTTTAATAGAAAACCATACATAGCTACATACTGCATTTGTTCCTGAACTCAATAGGTTTTTGAACAACATTAAATAGAATGTTTTGTACCATGTATGTCGAAATGTGCCTTTTCTTAAGAAGATTTCAGTCTTTTTATGTTCCTTATTCTTTAAAAAATTTTCTCGATTTTGCTACAAATTTAATTTTTCCTTTTTGACATGAATGAAGGATTGAAAATCGTTTCAGAGATTTAGGTATTTCAGTGACTTACTTGTTAAAACCAGAAGTTACCTTGTAGAAGTAAATAATGTTGCATCTGTCTGGAAAAGTTGATAACAGTTAACAAATGTAAGAATAATAGGATAGTTGATAGCAAACTTAAGCATATCAAAATCTATTAATAAAAATGTATCTAAAGAGCTTGTATGTTTTTATCTGTAGTAACGAAGACTCAACTTACTTACCTCGTTACGCCCCTGCGCGACTTGATGTACAAAGGAAAAATGGAAGAATGTATGAAAATATTTTTTTTTTTATTATCACAAACAATCGCTTCAAAATTTATTTAGTTCTTACTGTACTCGTTTTTAATAAAAAAATTCAATGTTCACAATATTTTGTTTGAAATTATGATCGCAGATGACAACCACAAGTGAACAATAGTTATTTACGTAACAAGTGCGGAAAAGACGATTTCCCGCACGAGTAGTGATTGACTCACACGAGTGCCGGAGTTGACGGGAACGAGTACCAGTTGAGCACACGAGTGCGTAGCACGAGTGTGATCGCAAGGTACGAGTTACCGTCACCGGCCACGAGTGCGAGTCTATCACACGAGTGCGGGAAATCGTCCCGCACGAGTTGCGTACAAGTTTTTTCGCAATGTGTGAGGAAAATAGGTACAAAATAGGTTTGAATTTTGATTTCCAGTGTGTAGCAAAATTTTTTCCGGTGTGTGGCAAAACCTTTTCCGCACACTGTGCGGAAAAACCTTTGTCGCACACTATGTGGGAAAATCGATTTTCCACACTAATACAAGTGCGGAAAACATCCATTTTCCGCACACTAATGCGAAATAGTAGTTTTCCTACGAGTTTGAAAAGTCTCTATTTGCGAACCGAGAGGTTTGTGGCCCGAGCCGAAGGCAAGGGACGTAACGAGGTTCGTAAAGGAGACTTTTCGAACAAGTTCCGGAAAACTGCTTTTTCGCCCGAGGAAGTACCAGCCTCCCAAAACCACCCGAGTGCGGAAAAAAATTTTTTTTCATCGTGATTCAGTTCATTGGACACGGTCCATTACGCATGATTATTGATTTATCATAAAAATGCTTTGATAAAAACCATGAGATCTTTGCAGTATGGCTTCACGAATGAGGAGTTAAGATTATGGTCTACACACAGACTCACAAAATCAAGCAATGAACTTCCATCAGAAGGCTCGTTTGTTCATTCGGTTAGGAGCAGCATAAATTGGTAATGAAGGGTCGTGGTGTTTAAGTAAGTAGAACATGCTTTTCCTCGTTCATATTTATTTTCAACCATCATAAAAAGTACAAAATTAAACTGTCGATTGATTAAAAATTTTTATAACCAACTTAACTAGCCATTAAGACCTGAGTTTCGCTATGTAAGTCCCTGTTCAATAACTGCAAAGGGGTATTACATACTAGCAGAACTTGGTTATTAATTGGTGAAATAAAGTATGGTGTGTAATTATCAGAGAACTAAAGTATTAGAAACCTGTACAGTAATTTCAAACTTTGCAAGTGGCAAAAAATTAAAAGAGTATTAAACCAATTGCGAAACTAATACAAACAGGCAAGTAGCCATCAAAGAAACTTAAAAATGTAGCAAGCAGTCATTAATACATACTTACTAAACGTGTTTTTTAAAAGGTGTTTAACTTTAACAGTTACATGCTAGTGCTATGACTCAACTATTTCGTGAAGATAAAGTTAATATTCCAACAAAATAGTACACAGACGTTTTGCCACTAAAAAAAAAAAAATTTCAACGATTGTAACAAGGAGAGACAACATGTTGTATAAATGCCCATGCGTAAATATAGTAGCGAAAACAGTAATTTATCAATGATGTAACGATAATAACGAATGTATTACAATAAAAATAAATAACTTTGACTATGATAGTTACTTATTTACAACATGTTTTACCAACAATTAACGCGGAACTGATTTTAAATTATGGTTTCTCCACGCAAAAAACAAGATTTTTATTTATTCGGGACACAAAAAACGTTTTCGTAACTTATTCCTATGAATGGATCATCGAAGTACAGTATTTTTCAATCACAGCTTATGGATTAACGAATTCAATGTTACTTACAAACAAGTTGAGTCTTTATTTTTTAACTAGAGTCAGATTCCTCCAATCCTTCTCGGCCAAATAAATCATAATGGGCTTAATACAGAGTTCAGGTAATCTTGAGTCCAACAGGTCTTGTAGTGAAATGAAAGCAGATTCGTACAATTTTTCCATCTTCAGAGCTCTTCTGCGTTGAAATTTGAATACTGGCAGCCAACCTGGGTACTTTTGTCGCAAATCGCTGTCCTGAATGTACTCGAGGATGGCGCGCCGTTGACGCCCCGGCATTTTGGCGAATTTTCGCACCATATTTTCCGTGAGAACGTCGCGCAAGGAAAACGAATCGATAATGGTGAAATTTTTCATTGTCTCAAGTTCGTTCGACAGCTTTAAAGTAAAGGATGGTTTCTCCGTGCCAAGGTCACCGTTCAAGGGATCCACGTGTAAACCAGCTGTTGTGAGCCTATCTATGTACTCGCTGAATGCATTGAAGTCGTAGCATTCTAGTGCCAAAGTTGCCGCGGTTTCATCATTGTTGTCAACAATGTTGATGTCTGCTCCGATCGATAAAAGAAATTCAATAGTTCTTTGAGGACTCTCGTTTACCAAGCAATGGAGAAGCGTTTGTCCTGCGAAAATTAAAAAAAAAATATGCAGATATAATTATCTAAATTTTGTGTTTTTTACTCAAATGATGCATATTTTTGAAAAAATTAAATGACTATACAGCGACAGTAAAATCATAACTTCCAGTATAGAAAATTAAAAAAAAATTTATTTTTTTTTTATAATACAACATGCATAAATCTATACATTAGTGGCACAAAGGTATTAAAATAACTCACCTTCACTGTCTTGATGATCAATGTCGCAACCAATGCTTTCGAGCAAATCGATTTTAGTCCTGAACTCATCAAAGTAACTAGATTTCATGTCTTGAAATTGAGAAGACGAAACGATGTGATAAATAACATTGCGGCCATCATCATCTAAATCAGTGAGATTAGGTATGTGCTGGATTAAAGTTTCAAAATCACTTGCAGGAAAATTGAAAGCAAGCTGAGTAGCGAGATTCATTTTAGTAGTCACACGGAGACTCTCCATCCTGGATTTATGACTCATAATTTTCAAAAAGTGGCTACAGGTTGCCTTATTGTTTTCAATGAGCCAATCAAAAATGGTTGCACTGGGTTCGTCGTACTCATCATTGCTGGATTCGATCTCAAAGTCTTTTCCTTTACTGCAAGGAAAGAAAAAAAAAAAAAAAAGATTACAAAGAATAAAATTGTATCGATAAAGCGTACTTATGTGTGTGGAAAAATAAAACGAAACGAATGTTTAAATGGCACAGTTATGAGATGTCATTATTTTCAATTGACAATTGACCAAACTATATAATATAACAATCAATAAACAGGTAAACAAATAAATTTTACATGACCCGGTGCTATGGTCGACAATTAGTTATAAAATCAAAAAACACCATTACCTGAGGAGCAAATTCAATAAATCCGGACTGTTTAATGCAGCTACACGTAATGCCGAGTAACCATAGAGGTCCTTGGTGTATATATCAACTCCAAGATCCAACAGCAGTTCAACCACGTTTTTTCTGTTGTATTTTAGGGCAAAGAGCAGTGGAGTGAAATCAAAATCACCGGCATAGTAACCATCCGTGGGCTCATTAATGTCGACGCCTAAGCTGATGAATTTTTCCACAATAGCAATATCACCCGTCATACAACTAACGTGAAAAACCGACAGTCCCCGTAAATTCACAAGCAGTTCGTCCTTATGCAACGAGATTATCTTTTGGCGTTTGGGTGACCCTGTGCGAAAAAAAAAATTATGTAGAATGTTAAGTATAAATTGTGTGGGCTTTTAAAAGAATACCATTTATTGCAACTTTATACGACTTTAAGGAGTTTTTAGTGAACGTTTAATTTAACACATCAAATTTTTTTTTTTTTTTTAAAGATAATTTTATAGAAATTATAGATTACTAGGAGTATTTTCACAAAAAAAAAAAAAAAAAAATGCGGAAGTCAGCTAGGCATTTTATTTGGTCACTGATGGCACACATTCAAAAAATTTACTAAAGTGCTTGTTCTTTAGTTGTAAAAAATGGAAAGTCGTCAACTAGTACGTCTCGCAAACTTGTTGCACATCAGACACTTGGTCGTATTCAACATGAAAAAGAAAACTGTAGATAAAAAACCACTTTTTCATGTTTGCATAGATTCACAGTAAATGACGCTATAGCCTTGAACTCCAAAAGCGCAAGATGTTACCGATTGTACCAAAATAAGTTGCCAAACCGACAATTGCACTTCTTTTTAACCAGTCAATTAGCTTACTAGTTGTTAAGTTTACTAATCTTACCATGCAACGGTTGGCTACCCAAAACAGCGCTTTCATAACTTTGCAAGATATACTTGAGTAATAATTTAACTGTATTATCTTTCTTCGGATATCCAGCTTCCACTAAAACGTGCAGTGGCGTCCAACCAGGCCATACATGTGAATCCACTTTGACGGGGCTGTTAGGGTTTTTCCCGGATTTTAACAATGTCTCCATCATGGATTCATCTTCCAGAGCACAGGCAATGTGCAATTCTGTCAAGCCTATACTATCGGGCCAATCCACCTGTTTTTCAAATTCAAATAGTCGACGGATGATGGCGTTCTGTGATCTTACACGACTGTAGTTTTGTAGAGCTATGTGAAGCGGCTTCAAGCCATTGGCATTTTTCAACGTCACATCTGCGCCATTTTCCAAAAGGAGGTCCACTATCTCCGCAGAATGATTTCCTACTGCCAAGTGCAGTGGCGTATCTCCCAAGCAAACATTATGTGGAAGTTTTTTTATGTAATCCATCAGTTTGCCATTTATTGGCTCATTGATGTCATTAACAATGGGCAGCAGAGCTTGCACTGCTTTCAAATGTTTCGAATGACAAGCTATGTGAAAGTGAGACAGTTGACCCGGAGCTACAGGATTGGCTTGAGTAGCTCCAGCACAAGATTTGAAATACAAATCCCTGAAGCTAAAGTCTTGATTGCTCAAAAATGCTATATGCATCCAAGTCAGACCATAAGCATTAGTTAGAAGGGGATTGGCATGGTGTTTTAAAAGTAATTTCGCCAATGCTTTTGATTCAACGAATACCGCGATGTGAAGGGGTGTGGAACCATTTATGACTGTCGAGTCTTTAAAATGATTATCGTACCAATAACCCTTGACATTATCAATGTTTGCCTTTATGACTGTATTCGGATTCACTCCATTGACGAGAAATTTCTCTGCAATTTTTACGTTGTTAAAGATACAAGCTATGTGGAAATGAGATAAACCATCTTTATCAATGAGATCCACCAGTGTGCTTGCGTGAGCGTAAAGAATGAAGCTGGCGCTTTTTTGCAAGTGAAAGGCTAAGTGAAGAGCGGTCCTTTGGTTGGCATCTTGGATAGTTACATCGACTCCGTGTCTCAAGCACACTTTGATTTTAAAGGTGTCTCTTGATGACGAGAGTATAACAGCTAGATGAAATAGTGTGCAGCCAGGCCATAAGATCGAATCGAATGGAATACGCGCATTAACGTCATTGATTTTCAAATAATCGTGTAGTTTCTCCTCTGTGCTGAATTCCGCGATAACGTCAATTAACAACGTGCCATTTTCAAGTTTAATTGATTTCAGTGACTCCTGAGTCTTTAAAATTTGGCTTACTTGAGATGGATTGCATCTAGTCGTGCATACGTCGAGTGGAGTTACGCCATGTTTATCCTTCGCCATGAGGTTGGCTCCTTTTTTTAAAAGCAACATCAATGTTTCAAAGTTACACTTAGCAGCAAAGTGCAATGGTGTGTAGCCTGGACACGATGGAGAATCAAAACTCAGTGCAGCGTTGATATTCACCCCATTGTCAATTAACGTTTCCAACATTTGTAATTCATTTTGAATTTTTTTGATGCAACGAACATGAAAGTGAGACAAGCCAAATCCGTCCGTTGGATTTAAATTGTCTGCGTTAGGTACCAATAGCAAATTTAATATATTTTCATTTTTTATCAGTTCCTTATCGGGCTGTGCAGGTGAAATATATACCAAAGCATCATTCATTTGTTTCTCAATAATAAGATGCAACGGATTTTTTCCATCAGTATTTGGGCATAATTCAGCACCATAATGTATTAGAAGCTCAACCATCTGTTTATTTCCGTTATAGATTGCCAAGTGCAAACAAGTACAACCAGCGAGGGTTTTTGAATTATTGCTGATACTTTGGTTGACCGATACACCAGAACACAAAAAGAATTTTGTCACCTCTACATTATCAGACTTACATGCTACATGAAGATGGGAGATACCCTCATTAGAGCATGGATTCGACGGATTGTGATATTTGATGTGAGCAAACAGTAATTGTTTGATTAAATTTGTGGTGATAACCATTCCAGAAAGAGTTCCCGACAGAAAGTTATAAATTATGAGCAATGGAGTGAAGCCCTCACTGTTTTTAAGAGTAAAATCAGCACCTTTACTCAAAAGTAAATCAATGATTTCACTTTGTTGATTATTTGAAAAATTATTAACAGCCAAATGTAACGCCGTACAACCTGCAAGATTATTCTTGCTGTTTTGTGGCATGGCATAATTGATGTCAAATCCACTATCCAAAATTGCTTCAATTTCATGCTTGGAGGCCGATTTCAAAGTCCTTTGGATTTCTATGAGTTTCTTGTAGTTTTGGTCCATACATACTGCAGGTAACATTGCTCAATGGTGTTGAAAAAAGTCGTACAATTCAAATTATATCCTTTGAATTTTTGGAACTGTTTAATCTATAAAAAAAAAAAATCTTTGAAGGGATCGAATTCACTGAAATGTAACATTTGTAATAAGTTTGTCATTGAACTACTATAATGGTAAGTACGTTGTGGAAGCAAAAAAATATTCATGAATTCAATGAACAGGAACACCGAACACATGACATGTTACAAACATTTTAAGTATGCCGTACACAGTAGGAAATTTTACAAAAACGGTGTATCATCACGCAACAGTTGAAAAAAGCTTTCTCAGACCTTTATTGTTGGTATCAACTTATTTTTCTAAGCCGTCAAAACATTGTAAACGTCGCAAACTAAGTTGAAACTGACTTATACCGTATATTTTCATGATTAGCACGTTCAAATTATTGTTAATAGAAAAATGAAATAACAGTAAGTATAAGTATACACATCATACTTACCACTAAACCACTTAACACAAGTTTTACAATAAATAGGAGCAGGAACAAACATGTGGCTAGAATTGACAAATGAAGATGTTGGTTATATCACTTATCTACAACTTGTGGTCAAGTCAATCACACAATCGTACCCTGCGCATCGCACCTATAAGATTAGGTGAATGTACTGCTCTGATTTTCGGTTATCAGTAACAATTTCAAATAAATTAGACGGTTACGCCCAAAGAAGTGAGTAATTGACGTGTGTTTACGTCTCGTTTGGGGAGACAGTTCTATCCTGCTCGCTCAATTGCGCTACATGTGACTGCACTACTGCGGGCTTTATTGCCTTTAATCTTATTAATAGGTTTGTGCAATTATCCACCTTGGAGCGCTCCGAGACCTCCGAGCGATCCATTTAAGCGAACACGAGTTCTTTGTCGGAGAACTCGGAGGCCTCCGAGATATCCTTATACTATATAGGTATACTCACTATAGCTGCTCATAAGGTATTTTCACTTGTGACGTCATTCCAGCAGCTACGGTGAGAATACCTATATAGTATAAGGATATCTCGGAGTCGGAGGTCGGAGGCCGGGAGGCCTTCGAGTTCTCCCACAAAGAACTCGTGTTCATTTTTATGGATCGCTCGGAGGCCTCGGAGCCTCCAAGGTGGATAATTGAACAAACCTACAGTTCCTAATTCAAAAACCGCGAAATTTGAATGTTCTGAGTATGTTATAATAAATAAGAAGCATAAATCCAAAAAAATGGTGATAACTATGTTCAGTAATTATTTGTAGTATCACAGTTATTACTGTTATATTTTGTATATTTTGTTACCTTACAGTTAAAGCTGTTACTTGTGTTTTAATCTGATAAATAGTTATTAGTATTTAAATTTCACGATTTTTTAATAAAGATACTTGCGAGTGTACTTAAAATTAAGGTTGTCAGTGTCGAAAACTTCATGTTGAGTACTATGTTGAAAAACCTAGCTTGAAATTCTTTACAGTAATTTACGGGTTTTCCACGCGTAGAAAACTTACCTTTCTTACAACCGTTTTTCTACCTGGCCATCCTTGGCCCGACTTGTAGTTCTTGGAATAAGGATAAGTATCAGACCGATATGATATTAAAAGTACCGCGCGGTAGTACTCGGAACTCGAAGTATCATGGTACTTATATTCCAAAGTATCGATAGTGATGGGTACTTACTTTTCTTTTCTTTAAATAACGACTACTTATTTACTTCTCGAGTACTCAGATGGAATTGCTTCAACAGAGACAGAGGACGTACAGAAAAATGTTAAAAAACTTTATTATACAGTTTACAGTGTACGAAGACAAAATAAAACATTTTTGACGAGGAAAAATTGATGACAAAAATTTTTTTTTGAAGTTTTTAATTTTTTTATTAAAAACTTGTTAGACAATCCATTTTCCGCACACTAATGCGAAATAGTAGTTTTCCTACGAGTTTGAAAAGTCTCTATTTGCGAACCGAGAGGTTTGTGGCCCGAGCCGAAGGCAAGGGACGTAACGAGGTTCGTAAAGGAGACTTTTCGAACAAGTTCCGGAAAACTGCTTTTTCGCCCGAGGAAGTACCAGCCTCCCAAAACCACCCGAGGGCGGAAAAAAATATTCCATTAAATGCTCTATGGTTTTTCACTAAATTGATAAATATGCAACATTAATAATTTTTAATGTCTACCTGATCGAAGGCTTCCTCCACACTCATTGGTAATTCATTCTCGTTNGAAAGTCGAAAAAATCGTATTTTGTATACATGTGATATTAGGGTTATTTCTTGCTTATTTGATAGTAATAAATATGAAAAAAATAATGAAAACCATTTTATTTGCTTTTTGTTGAAATGTAGCATCTCGATCGTCGAGAAACACATTTTAAATATGTTTTATTTTAACATAAAAACACTTGATAAATTGATATTATTTATTTATTTAAAAATGATGAAATTTCTGTTAATTTTACCATCGCTTCCCGGCACACTGACACAGATCAAAATGTATCATCTATTCTCATCAGCTTGGTATCTGATACGCTCTTCATGTACGAGTAAGAGCAATTCACATATTCACAAATATATACATGCACACAGGCTTACACATACACACATTGGAGTGCACGTAGGTTTACCTCCTCGTGTCGCACTCTGGGTACCGCTAAAGATCTACATTATTTTTTTCTGTTAGTGGAAAGTATTTGTTTTTTAATTGTTATTATGTTTATCATGTTTTACTTTAGAAAAAAAAAACACATGAATATATTTTTGTGCACATTGAAGTATTTGTCATCGTCTACAGCTATTTGCCAGTCAGAATGAGCTTTTTCCACACACAGTTTCTTCATATCTGTCACTAAATCGTCGATATTACTATCGTGAGATACATAGATTTTTATTTCAACATCAAATGACGTAGAAGAATAAAAAACATCTTCATAAACAATTTGTTCACCTGAAGTAAAATTTTTTTCATTTATCTTTTTGAGAGTAAACATATGTTGGCATGCAGATGAATTAAAAGAAGCCGTCAATTCTAAAACTTTGTTATGCAGGTAATATGGTTCGTCTACAAAATCGACCGTAAATGTCAAAAGATAAAAATTGTAATCTGATTCGTAATCGTTAAACACCATTTTTATGGAACATTGACTTCCAAGTTTATCTAAATTGAAAACTTGAGATGATTGGTTGTTAGTCAAACCATTTAAACGAAACGCGATTATAGAGCTACTCTCGTTTTTTATATCCGTCACAGTGGCCATTATTTCTGTAACAAAAAAAAATTGATTTCTTGTTTATTCATCCTAGCAATCTCAATGGATTATTTACACAGATAAGAGACTAATATTTGAAATCAATCTTCACTTTATTCGTTATGAAAAACGTTACAGCGTTGATTTTACGTAACTGGATCATACAATTAATTAGAATATACCCAATACTTATAAACCTTCTGACACAGATGCGACAAAACAGTAATTTCATTAGTTTTTTCGAAATGTCTGTAAATATTTACTATGTTTAGATTTAGAGACT